TTCTGTCTGCCCCCCCCCCCGCCCCCCGTGTCTATCGTCTCGTCTGTCTGTCTGCGTCTGTCCGCCCTCTCTCTTGGTCGCTTTGCCTTTCGTTTGATGCAGCAAGACCCACAGGTGACACTGGCCCTCGTGTCAGTGGCCGTTACCTTCCTGGTCATCATCGTCAGCTCCGCCAAGCAGAAGAAGGTACAGTTAACAAATTTTCCATGTCAAAAAATGATTCGAAAAAGACTTGGGTAGCCGGGCTTACAGCTTAGCGCGTTCGTCCTGATGAGTCCGGTCGTGTTCTTGGCCCTCAAGCGCTTCATGCGTCTTGACGCCTTTCGTGCACCTTGTATTACTTCATGCATCTTGTATTACTTTATTCATCTTGTATTACTTCGTGCATCTTGTATTACTTCGTGCATCTTGAATTACTTTATGCATCTCGTATTACTTCGTGCATCTTGTATTACTTCTTGCATCTTGTATTACTTCATGCATCTTGTATTACTTCGTGCATCTTGTATTACTTCATGCATCTTGTATTTCTTCATGCGTCTTGTATTACTTCGTGCATCTTGTATTACTTCATGCATCTTGAAGCGCTTTGTGCATCTTGTAGCACTTGGTGCCATCTTGGAGCACTTCGTCACCGTCTCGTCGTCCTGGGGCGAACTTCAGATGTCGCATTTACGTCGAAGATATTGATTCATCGTTTTTGCGCGTGCTGGAACGAGCGTAATACCAAATCACGCGTGCCTTGGAGCAGTACCTCGTTGCCAAGTGTCATACCGTGTCACGTGCATCTTGGAGCAGTTAGTTTCTTCGCTGTATCAACGTACTGCAGCGAGCTTGCTCCATCGCTGTATCAAAGTAAGTATTTTTTCACTCACGAACCCCTGGTTCATCCTTGTGAAAAGTTTGCAGCCTGGGCAGGCGAAAACCCGGCATATCGCTCCGTCCCGGCATTGTAGGGATGTGAGGTCATGGTCTAACGACTACGGCATGCACGGCCATGAGTACACCACCCTGCGCTCGAGGACGCGTGGTCAATGGTCTAACAGCTAAGGCATGCAAATCATGTGTACGCCTCCCTGCAACCACACTTGACAGATTGCTCTGCAGCCGGAGGTGTATGCTCCTTTCCGGCTCCAGGAGAAGGTGGAGCTCTCGCACGACACGAGGATGTTCCGGTTCGCGCTGCAGAGCCCGAAGCACGTGCTTGGGCTCCCCATCGGGCAGCACGTGTCGATGAAGTTCGTCGACGCTGACGGGAAGATTGTCACCAGGTCGTACACGCCGACAAGCTCCGACATCAACGTGGGTGGTGTTGTTGTTTGTTGTTTGGGGGTTTGGAACACGTGGGGTAACGAGTGGTTTTGCGGATAGATGTCGGCAGAGAGTTGTGAGGTTTCGTTTATGATGCAGCAAGTACTGCAGATGAGCGAAAAACGCAAGTTGGCGTGGGGGGCTTCGACATGGACGGGGCGGCGCGGAACAGACCGTGTGTCTTTCACCTCAGTACCCACTCATACCAGTTGTAGGGCTACCAGCGTCTCGATCCCCCCCCCCCACCTGCCCATGCCTGTGCTGCTTGCATGCCCTTTTCGCTCGTGCGCTGGATCATTTGTACCCATTTGATCCCTTCCCATGGCGGTTTTCCTTTTCACCCGTATGCCGCGGCGGCGGTGGCGGGCTATTTTTTCCGTTCCGGGAACGATGGCGATGACGCAACAAACAATTGTCCATCCCCAAACAAAACGCCTCCCTGGTTTATTGGCGGCGGTGGTGGGTGACTGGCGCTGGGAATTGGCTTGGTCTCGTCTGGTGGGGAACGCGGGTTCGTGGGGATTGTTGTCCTACGGTGCGCGGAAAACGACGACGACAATGGCAACAACAATACCCGACAACAACGACGACAACAATGTATCTACTACTACTACTACGACAACAACAACAACAACAACAACAACAACAACAACAATGCTTGCACGATTTAGCTTGGCCACGTAGACTTTGTGATCAAGGTCTACCGGCCGAACGAGCACCCCAACTTCCCGGACGGGGGCAAGATGTCGATGCACTTGGAAAGGCTCAAGGTGAGGGGGGTGTTGCAGGAGGTACGGTGCTTCGGTTGCAGAACGTGTTGTTAGTGAGGAAGGTTTCGTCTTCGGTGAGGATACTTGTCTTTGTTTCATGTCTGTTGGTACGGCGAGAAACCCGGGGCAAGGAGATTTAGGCTTAACACTCTCTACCGGTGGATGCTGTTTGTGAGAGATGGAGAGACATAAATATCGGGAGAAATCACGAGAGACAGAGACACAGGGAGACGGAAGTGAAGGCGGACGCAGAGACAGGCAGACCGACAGAGACAGAGACACGGAGAGGCCGATATGAAGACTACATGGACCAATCACTCTCAAGAGTATGAAACTCGGTTTATTAGTCGTACCTCGACCTTACGCCCGTCTGCTGCTCCGTCCCACACTGGCGTGCTTTCGGTGGTCTATCTAGATCGGGGACACTGTGGACATGCGAGGACCGAAGGGAAACCTGACATATTTGGGGGCCGGAAACTTCAGTATAAGGCGCCGGGACGACCGCCAGGTGAAACACTTGCTCTTTTTTTGTGTAGTTTGTGGGGGGGATGTGCTGTAGTGAATGGCGACAGTTGTAAGTTGTTGTCGTTGTTGGTGTCGTTGTTGCTCTGTTGCTGTTGTTGTTCTTGCGAATGGCCAAGTCCGTGTCGTCGGTAGTTTCTCCCTAGCTCCCAGGCAACACCGTGCACATACCTTGACGTCGACAGACGGAACGATTCTGAAGTATAGAGGAGGCCCCTCAATAGTCCCGGTTGAGTAACGCCACTGCCCGGAAAGATGCCGGTGAAATCGCGTTGTCTTATTCTCTAAGTAGCGCCGGGATGCCCGGTTTAGCGATGAACCTGGCGGGCACGTACCGGCTGTGGTAGGTAACAGGGTAATGCCGTGTAACCGTATCCCCTCATGCTTTTTTTTTTGGGTCCCCGCCGTTTTGATGGCGTCGACGATAACTCCACGACAATTTGAAGGTACGGAAGCTCGGCATGATGGCCGGGGGCACGGGCATCACCCCGATGCTTCAAGTCATCTCTGCGATCATGAGGGAAGGCAGCACCGGCTTGGTGGAGATGAGCCTTATATTCGCGAACAAGTCGGAGGACGACATCTTGCTGCGGGACATGATCGAGAAGCTGGTGAGAGGGTGTGCGAGCGGGGTGGGGGGGGGGGGGGG